ATTCTGTCCTCGGAATGTCTGTCTCTGCTCCTTCTTATTCCTAGGTCGCCTCATTGTTTTATACTCCAAAACGAATCAATGTCAAAGGAAAAATGTGTTCATCAGAAAAGATTTCAGACATATCAAACTTTTCATGCACTATAACTAGATTAAACACAACCACATCAATATCTAACTTAGGGAGTCATGGAGTCCGAGGTACACCACAATTGATCACAAAAGTGCAATGATACCAACTATTTAGTATTACTAGCATCAAACAACATAAAAGCACATATAACACACAAGCATAAACAACACATAAGCAGGTATATATCTAACTAAGAGAATACTAAAGAAAAATTACCTTATCACTGCATCAGACCTCCTCAGCTGTCATATTGAAAGCACGAGCATTCACCTTGGGAACTTCATCCTTCTTCTCATTACCACCTGCTTGAACCTTCAAATTTGGGCATTGAGTACTAATATGGCCCATTTGTCTGCAGTTGAAACACATTGGCGTGGGGCTATTGCAATCATCCTGACGGTGACCCGACTTACCGCATCGTCTGCAACTAACAGTCTTGCTACTACAAGGACCCCTATGTGAAAAACGACATGGCTTGCAATACTCTCGTCGTTCGTTCCCCTTCTGAAAATTTTAATTCTTTGAGGACCCAGATGAACCTTCATTTTTTCTCTTCTCTCCATTCTTTCCAGTAGCACGCCTTGGCGTAGCCAAATCAACCTCAACCTTGAGAGCCTCATCCATTGCAGCCGCTAAAGTGCTGCGCTGCCTCAACGTAGCTCGATACTCTACTGGTAACCCCTCAGCATAATGTTCTACCTATTTTGCCTCGATGGGACAGTACTTCTTGCCAAACTGTAACTTCTCAAAGAACATTGAATTATATTTTGCAACAGACATAGTTCCTTTTTCCAGGGCAAGGAATTCCCGCTCAATCTTCCTCATTTGACATGATGGACAAAAACGATCATGTAGCCTTTGGATGAACGTCTCCCAGGTCATGGCGCAAAGTGTAGCCTCATGGATAATAAAATCCAATGCCTCCCACCACTGAAGGGCGTCACCATCCAACTTCAGTGTTGTATAACTGACTTTTTGTGACTCAGTGAAGTCAACTGAATGGAAAATCAGCCTCGTCTTACGCAAGCATTGCATGCACACTGCTAGGTTATCCCCTCCTAGGAAGACATGGGGTTTGCGGTCCGTGAATGCATTGAAAGAACTACCTCTCCCCTCCTTATGATATCTAGTGGGCTCCCTACTCCGCTCCCGGGTAACTGAGTGGCTCCTCATTCTACTCTTCTTCATCTTCGGGGGGTAAGAGGCCAGTAGCTCGGATAGCCTGCTGCATCCGCTTCATGTCTAGATCGTGTCTCTGTAACTTAGCATCCCGTGCCTCAAGCTGCTCTTGAAGGTCAACAATGATAGCAGTACTCGTAGTTTTGCGCTTGCTACGTGCTGGTTGGGCTCGTGGCTGACGACCAACAGGTGGGGTCTGAAAAATAAACAGTGGCGTCTCGGGTGCACGGTTGTCCTGACTCCCACCAGCTCCTCCAACATTGACATTCCCTTCAGCGTGCTATATGTTCCTAAATAACAAAGAATTTTAAATACACATAACAATTATTGGAAGGGAAAATTCAGGAAGTTACATATAACTATCCTATAACTCTCATACACACCCTCCCCCCTCCCTTTAGATCCTAAGCACCTAAGTGAGCCAGTCTATACTGTGAGTCTGAACACCGGCCTCTGTATTCAGTTCACTCATAACATGGCTCTGATACCAACTTGTAACGCTGTGATTTTCACCTCAATTTTTTTTAAACACCTTTTAACGGAAATCGCAACGGAAGACTTTATTTAATTAATTCAAAACATTTTCAAACCACAACATTACTTCAAAATTCAAACATTATTTCAACCAATTAAAATATAGCGAAGGAAAAGTACTTTAAAGTAAATAATCAAAAATGTGTCCAAGATTGGTATCGATGATAAAATCTACTACCCATTAGCAACCCCTCTCAACAATCCAAGCTCCTAAGCTACATGTACCGATCACATGGCACAGAGTAAAAGAACCAAGTGTCTCCCCCTGCTGAGTGAGTTAATAAATGTTGCATATACTCGTAGGGAAAACGTACAATTTCCCAAACGGGTGAACAATTCAGTTTATCAGATCATAACATTAAGCAACATATACTCACATATAACAAGAAATTCATCACGTAACAACGAAAGCATAACATTTCACCAAAACAACACTTATCACCAAAAGCAACATATATCAGCTAAAGAAATAGATATCATCAAAAGCATATCACCATAAGCACATCACCAACAACATAATACCATAAGTATGTCACCAAAAGAATAACACCAAAGGATTGTCACAAAAAGAATATCACCAAAAGTATCGCATATCACCAAAAGATTCCTATGATAGGCATGAGACACTACATACATCCTATCCCAAGGGAACTACCCAGTTCACTACTCGTGTGCCTGCATTGTTGAATGCTCTAAGTGGCTCATGACTTCCACCCGAAGCACCAACCGCAGACACCCCTTTCGCTACTCCGACTATGCGAAACACAAGTGTTCCGCGATGTCGTTCAACATATGGTACCAACAGTGTCGTAGATCCATAACACCTCCCACCCCAACGTGATGTTTGTACTAGTCCTCCTCGGTAGGACCACACCACTCCAGTCCACGAACACTATAGTGAGAGTGTACGTGTACCATGTGTCACCGAATCTTCTAGATAGACCGGGCGACTAAGACTATAAGAATACTCATAATTTGTAGTGAACCCATTCCACAATGCCGAGAACTATGTTTTCATATTGGTTAAAACTTCATTGTCTGATCAACGCCGTTGCCCAATATGGTAGCTTATAAACTAGGCTGAAAACAACTGAAAGCGATAGAAAATCATTTACCTTTTCCCCATAGTATTACATATTTTTTTTTTCTCGTAAGTAACACGTCTTCAATGAAAAAGACATGATTTTCGTTTTCTACCAGGAAAAAGCAACATAAATCACATATATCATCTATGTGTCTCCTTTATTATCACATAACCCTAGTTGAGTTTCCCTATATTTTCATTTTCAATGGGACAACAATACTCATGAACATGTCTCACTGAAGAAGTGGATGCTAAATTCAATGTCTCCCTTGAAGAATTCTCTCTCTTAGAGGCTTCCAACTCCATTGAGTTTGAATACAATAGATTTGGATGGTTAGTAGATTTTTGCGTTCATGAAATTTTTATTTGTCTAAAAAAGAAGCACATGTTGTTATGGAATTTGAAGGATACCAAGAATTTGAACGGCAAACAGAATCTTACTAAAGTTCGTGCTAACTCAGATAGCGGTGGGAAGCAATTTGCTGATGCAACCAATGTGAATTCCATGAATCCTAGCTTAATACTCCTCCACAACTGCTGAATCGAGGTGACGTTCTGGTCGCCGATAGATAATTACTAGTGAACCTTACGTCAAGATTTTGTGGCGTGTATGCATGTGTTGAAGAACTCGAAAAACCCTGAATGGGACGAACAATTTATAATTTTGTTAGCCCACGCCCTTGGCCACATTAAGTTTCACGCGAAAGACAACGACGTGTTCGATGCTGATGTGTTGGGGTGTATTAAGATTCCGACGGAGAAGATCGTCATCGGCAAGACTATTTCTGGTTGGTTCAGGATGGAGAATTCAAGTAACACGAACTCGGAACAAGGCAACAATGCGTTTGGAGAAGGAGTTTCTAATTTTTGGGGATTTAGGTTTCCCGCTAAAAAAATTAGAAAACGACGGCCAATTGTAATACATACAAAAGTGCATGTCGTAAATTATTCAAATTTTTTATAAGGCATGCCTTTTTTTTATGACACCTACTATTGTGTGACATAAAGCTTATGCCTGTCATTAAAGGACATGTCATTATTTACATGTTATTGAATGCCTTTGTTCTAGTCGTCACAATAACAAAATGTAAGAACTATAAAGAATCAATAGGTCGCGCAATTGATAAAAAAAAAAGAAGCATAATTAGTTATTTCTTTTACTGACATGAAGGTTAGAATGGCAAGAGTACTCACTGTAATTATGAGGAGTGTAAACTATATATATGAACTATAAATAATAATCCATGAAACCAATTTCTAACTGACAATAAATGAAATTATCTCATAAAAACTAAAGTACAGGGTTGAAATCATTGCAAAAATTTGGCCTATCATAGGTTTTGGCAAACAAGATTATAATGAATTCTATCTGCGATAAATTTAAAAATACCTTAAAACAAGATTATAATGTATTACAAAAGTTGTGAATTTGAACAAATCTTGAAACCTCATAAATTGTTACTAAAGCGCTCTGCACCGCACCCTAAACACCTCTATTTTACACATCTAATATACCGGTTCTGACATAATTTAAGGTTCTCATTTGGGCAAAAGTCATATATTTTTAATCCATTTACTTGTATGTTTGAGCGTATTATTAATTAAACGTATATATTCATTCAGTTATTAAATTAAAAACGTTTCCTGAAAACAGGTGAAAAAAAGGTGGTTATCCAAAGCTACAACCGTAGTAGAAGATCCAAATGGTGGAGATCATACATATTACGAACATGGACAAAAAGCTCCACGCATAGCATTTTTTTAACGGCAACACATATCATTATTTGACTTGCAGAGAGTGCGTCGGACCCAAACAAATAGAGAAACCATTTACTAAATAATTACACATACCATAGTGGAAGATCCAAATTAATGGTGGAGATCATATATATTAAAAATACGAATAGATAAATGCCACATGGCTTAAATCCTATACTAATATCCTCTCTTTTTTAATTAAAATACACAAATTGCGACCCTACTCTAATCACCTCTCTATATATATCTAAGCGTCGGTCTTTCATTGAATTCTCATCTAAACAAACATTGATCATTATTCACAAACAACTTAACATGTCAAGACTGTCTACTGAGCTCTTTGAGAATGAAATGAAGCATTTTATTTCAAGAAAACTTCTACTTGACACGTACTCATACCAACAACCAGCGGCTGCTGTGACAGCTCCATCACGGTCAAGCCCATATACAGAACATAGCAACTTTGATGCGAATGTGGTGATGGTGCTGTCGGTGCTGATATGCGCTCTGATTTGCTCACTAGCGTTGCACTCCATCATCAGGTGTGTATTAAGATGCACGGGATTATCTAGTTCAGAAAGTAGCGGTAGCCAGGAAACAACTTTAGTTAAAGCCAACACTGGAATCAAGAAAAAAGCATTAAAGAGTTTCCCAACACTCAGCTATTGGGAAGGGCTGAAGCTACCAGGATTTAACAAAGAATGTGTTATATGCTTGGGTGACTTTTCAACAGGAGAGCGAGTAAAAATACTGCCCAAGTGCAACCATGGATTTCATGTGCGTTGCATCGATAAATGGCTGAGTTCACATTCATCTTGTCCAACTTGCAGGAACTCCTTACTTGAAACATGTCAAAAGTTTGTCACAGGTGGGAAATGTAGCAGCAGTATGTCTTCACAACTGCAAGATCAAGGTCTAAGAAATACTACTATTTTAACCATATTGCCTCTGTCGCATGAAGGTCTTGTACGAAATTATGAGACGTAACTAGCTAGTTCTATGACAAAATGAACGAATCAAATGTAATTACTGTAATACTCATACCTAGATACTAGATAGGTAGGAATTGTCCATTGAGTAATATAAATTATTATTGACACAAAAAGTTCTTTCCCTACAATACGTTACACGTAATGTTGCTACTTTGCAATTGTTTTACAAGACTTTTTTCTAAAGTATATATCATCAAATTAAATTTGTTAAAACTTTACTGTAATGTATATTCTTTTATACTTATAAGTTTGTTAATACTTGTATATAAATAAAAAGAGTACATTTAATAAATAATATAATCTGAGTATCGTTATTCATTCTTGATACGTAATACACAAATTTGGGTGGTGGCGTGATGGCTACTTAGAGGTGCACAAACTGGACTGGCTTTTGTAAAACAAAAAAATAACCTAACCGTTTCTTTATATTACAAGTTGTCATATAACCGGTTAGGATTTAACCCACTTGCCGGTTACAATAATGGCAGAACAAATTTTTTTGCCTGGTTTTAAGCGATTCTCCAAAAAACTTGATTTTCTTTCGGAAAAAGAAAAAAGGGTTTTCCGGGAGAAACCATTGAGCTTGACTTTATTATGTAAAAAGGTTATAGGACTGTTAATGTAGCCGTTCAGAGTGACAAAGTTACCATTTACCCCCTCTAATCATCTAATGTTAGTATAAGTAGGTTTTGGTTCAATTGGTTACCATACACCACAAACAACACTCTCCGTTCTCGACTTTATTTGCATTTTTTTTCTTTGACTTAAGAACTCAATATCACATCCTAAAATGCTTCTGGTTCCGTATCCATCTTTTATAAAATTTTAAAACTTCAAAAAATGTCATCATTGGCAATAATCTCCTTACATTTTATAAAATTTGGTCAAAACAAAAACAATTTATAATACTATTAATTTACAGTTCCATTATGCACAGTAATATGATCTGATTGGTTGAATTTTTTTATTTTTTTTTTTATAGTTTTTTTGGAATGAAAACCTGTAAGACTGGGGATTTAAAAGATTGGGGTTACGTGTTCTCCTCTTTTCCACCGCTTACATACGTGTCCACCTTCTGTTTTCCAAAGCGATACTGATTCGTTTTTCCCACCGGCGCTAACAGATGTGGATTTGGTATGAATTTCACAGCATCATCCACTTTCACCCCATCTCTGATATGTACTCTTTGAAGCTTCATCCATAATGGACCAAAAAACGAACGGTTGCTCTTCTTACGTTTGAAGAGCAATCAACAAACCACAGTCCACCAAAATCGCACTCTGCTTCTTCTTCTTTGCGTCAACCACCATCTTCAAGGAAGTCGAACCGGTATGCCCCCTCCTCTCTTTTTAAATCCATCACAGTTCCTCTTCACCCTTCTTCTTCTTATTTTTCTGGCAGAATTTGTTATTACTGGTGGTTTGTCGTTGGTAGTCGCCCCCACCTCCGTCAACAGCAACAACCAATGCCTCTGCTGTTTCAATAGGATTTTTTTTTCCTATTTGGGTTTGCTTTAGACTACCATCTTCACCAGTCGTATAATTTTTTTTGGTATTTGATTTGGGTTTCCACATTCTCTGCTCCAACATCGGTTACAAAGTTCTTCAAAATTCGATAGTGTGTTCGATTTTGCCCTTCACCACCGCCATCACCTTATTACCCACGAAACATACATGCCTCTATCCACCGTCGCCTGGGTTGGTCCTCAACAGTCAGCACACGTACACGAAAAATGCCCACAGATTTCAGAAGCAGCTAATAAGGTAAAACCGAGAGAATTTCTTATTATTATTATTTTTTTAAGTTCAGCTGTGTGTCGAATTAAAATGATTGTGTGTATGATGTGTGTGAGTGTTTCTGGATGCGTTGTGATTTTCTGTTTCTTTGCTACTTCTGTATTGGACACCCCAACTTTTTGATAGAATGCCTAGCAGAAGATTTTAACCTGTTTATAAAAATTCAATATTTCTTACATAGGTGGAACTTCAAGCGGAGAGCAGCATTTGGGAAATTCTACTAGGGAAATGGTATCAGTCCTCTACGCATACAGGAGTTGTGTCAAAGCACTTCCTCAGGTTTGATGAAGAAAAATCTTGAAAAGTTTTTATTTTTTATTTTTTATTTATAATAACTCTATATAATGCAAAAATTTATTGCCAACTTCCAGCTTCTATGAAGCAAAGCCAGGCTGATTTGTATCTAGAAACTTATCAGGTACTGGACTTGGAAATGAGTCGGCTTCGTGAGATACAAAGATGGCAAGCATCAGCTGCAGCTAAAGTATGTGCCTTGATTTTGTCATTTTCCAATATTGCCCCTATTATTCCACTGTATCTGAATGAAATTACTTGATGTTTTCGTTCAACTTGGTCATCTAAAAAATGCAAAAGCCAACATACCTTATGATTTCTCTTGGTATAACAGGTAAGCTTAGTATTTATCATTTATCATTGTTGGAACAGCCCCTGCAACCTCTAAACATAAAAGAAAGAAAACTGAGAGTTGTTGCTGTACACGAAAAGAATAAAAGAAGAAAACAGATGGAGACTTTGTTTTCACAGAAAAGCTGCTCTCACATAAATCCAAAAGTAAATGGGGCTATAAATAGCCTACAATACACAATGGAAATTAAAGAAAAACAAACTAAAACCTAACCACTAGAATAGGACTCTATAAGACCAGGTACACCACGTTTTTTTTGCTTTGAACCTGGTCAAATCTCTTTTATTCAAATACTATGAATAAAGTTGACTGGAATCTTTTTGCTATCTGGTGGCAATATGAGGAAGGCAGGTGGTTTTTTTAGGAATAGTAGCTCTGAGTTTCCTGCAAATGATTTGAAAAAATTGGTAACCTTTTTCTACAAGGTTAGTTTCTTCCTGCACATACTAGACTATTCAGGTTAGCTATTTGTATTATGATGAATGACTTTTTTTTTTGGTTTGATTATTCATATCATTGCTAAAATAACATTTTCTTTTTAACATTTCAGTTACGTTGGAACATTCACAAATCTTGGTTTCTTATGGTTTAGAGAATTTTATTTGGAATCTTCTCATGTCATTAAAGTAAGTTGTAACACCGTAAATTTCCAAACAAATTTTTCATTTTAAAATCATATAAATTTCATAACGCATTTCACAAAATCGAATTTGTTTAGTTTACAAAACACATCTCCATAATTGATTGATTAATAATCCAGGATCCTTAAAACATAACTCTTTCTCTGGTGTGTACAATCGAGCCGGTGCCTTCCCGCGATCCTGAGAAAAACCTGAAACACATAACACATAACACGGTAAGCACGAAACTTAGTGAGTTCCCCAAAATACCGCACACACAACTCATTAGCCACTCGAGGCTATATCACTGTAAGACCCTCCGGTCAATGTGACTCAGTGGAACCCTCTAGTCCCACGGTTCGTTGGACCCACTGGTCCGGTCTGTAAAGCTCCGCATAGCATAAATCACAAAGACAATATGCATAGCATACAACAATAAGCAGGATAACATAACACTCAATGTAAGCACGTAAGACCCTCCGGTCACATATAAGTACCACTCTAGGTAAAGTATAGGGAGAAGACTCACCTCGGATGAAGAACAGCCCCTAAAAACGCTGCTGCTGCGCACCGGCCTCTAACTCTGAGCCAAAACCCACAATTAACCCAATTAGGAACTATGTCCAGACTCTCACTCATTAGGTCTAAATGAAGACCACTAACCAGCCCATTAATAGCCTAATACCCATTGGGCCCACCAAGGCCCAATAATAAATGGGTTCACCCGAGGCCCACTCTCGAAAGTAAATGGCAAGCCCAACTCAAGGGCCCAAGCACGAATATTCCTCTGGTTCAATACCCTATTATAACAAGCCCAAACTCCAGGCCCAACACTCAAGGCCCCAAAATGAGACTTAGCCCAAAAGTCCACAGTGAGGTTACGCGGGGAGTACCTCCCTTGGTACGCTCAGCGTACTCACAATCCAAATTGGCTATCGGGGACACTGGTCAGTACGCGGGGCGTACTGGAATTACGCTCAACGTACGTCCAGGATTGTTATCTCCACTCCCTTGGTCTTAAACCGTTAAGACCATAGCTATACTCTTAGATCTGGTCTCCATAAAGGCTCATACACAATAAAGCTCGTGACTTTAAGCCTTTGCATGGCAGATCAAGTCCCAAACACAAAAAATCTTACTCTATACTCCGAAAAATCCTCATATCTTATGCATGAGGTGGTTCCAACGTCCAAGGCCTCATTTTTATGAATCCTCTCCACTAGAACACTTAAAGGGACATACATTAGGCTCTGGAATTCAACAACTCAAAAAGCTTCAAGTTTTGGGACCAAAAACCCTAAAATGGACCCAAAACAAAAACTAGCACAACAATAAGAAAGTTTCAAACTTGATACCTCTACAAGATGCACCAACAATGGAAGAACATAGATCCAAAAGCTAGATGCTCAAGCTATTCTCTTTCAAAGCTCCTTATTCTTCTTCAAAACCCAAACATAACAATTCATCACCCCACTATATCCACATGAGAAAGCCACCAAGATTCAAACTTTATGCTTTCTGGAACTAGATCAACCTGATTAGGGCTTGGATCCACAAGCTCCAAGCCAAGTAATGCTTCCTCAAGGAACTCCTTCTTCAACATTATGCACCAAAAACTCACTAAATCACCAAAATGCTCAAGAATCACTCAAATGGAGGCTTGGGGTCGATTTCTAGGGTTTAGAGGGATGGAGGCTGAAGATATTAGGGTTAGGTTATGAGATAAGGAGCTTAAATAGGGTCTAAGACCTTAAAATAGGGTTCAGGTCTGATTAGCGTACGCCCAACGTACATATGGTACACCCAGCGTACATATGGTACGCCCAGCGTACTCCGAAGAACATTCGCGACCACCCCCGGTCAGTACGCCCAGCGTACTTCCTTTTTCACTAGTACGCCCAACGTACGCTTTGTGTACACCCAGCGTACTCGGCTAAGCCTGAAACCACAAAACTTCAGAAGGCCATAACTTCTTCGTTATAAATCCGTTTCCGACGCTCCTTATATCCACGAAAAGGTAACGAGAAGCCCTACACTTCTATCAACTTTATTCCTTCTGAAGCCCACTCGAACTCAGATCCAAAATTCATGAAAAGTCCGAACCAACGCTTTTAACAATACATTTGGGCTCTAAAGCACAAACCGAACTCCTTTATCACACCACCTACCTTCCCCGCATCCCAAAATGGCCTAAACCTTTCTCTTTCAAAGCCTCAAAACCTTCTCATACTCGGATTAAGGGCCATGGGCCTTAAATCATAAAACTATGTAGAACAGGATGTTACAATTCTCCCCCACTTAAATTAGATTTCGCCCTCGAAATCGCTCCTTATCAACACATAGGTCGAGCCCAATAATCCGAGTAGCACCATCGAAAGGACCTCATATCATACAATAATCTCTTTCAAAAACACCTAAACCCAACAGTAACTCCCGACCCCGACAAAGGACAGACCCAACTGCCGCTGCGATACTCGATCTGACTCTCCAGAACTTGAAACTCTAGTGGTCTATCTCCCTGCCAGACCACCCTCGCAAAACATCATCCTGTTAATCGCCCATCGGCTAACAGACCCTAAGAACACTCTTCCAACTCTGATTCTCTAATTGATCCCGATCGCAACTCAAAAGGAACGGAAAGGTCATAATCCCCTAAGGACCCACCGCCTGAACAACAATCAGGACTCATCGGAAGGAAAGAACCCCAAAACTTAGACACAAGAAATGATCATGCTCGCTTGGAAGCATCCTCTGATATCCATAGACATAAGCCCCATCTTCCTCTCAATTATCCCCTTCAACACTGAGCATCAGGTCAGCTCCCGACCCAAAAGATGAACCTCCAAAGGTTACTCATTGCAAACCAAAAACGTCTCACCGACTTCCTTCTCACGATAACTATCTCGGCTCATCGCGAGACACAAATCGCGAAGTTCGCTTTACCCCACGCGAATGCTACAACTCATTTGAAATCATGTCAGTTCCGACCTCTGTCGTCTACCACCCACTGGTTCCATGCGTCTCGCGGTTCTTCCCATACCAACGAAACTGATCCACTCCGGCCTAAGATATCAGATGAAGGTCAATACCCCCCTCCCCCCTCAATAGACAAATGGATCCAGACTCGAGCTCGAGAGTCTGATTCAATGGAAGAATTGGAACCACTCATTTCCAATCTGGTACTCAACTCATGACCCAAAATTCGTGGATTTATGCACACACTGTCTCTCTAATTCCTTCCGATTATGATAATCCCTACTCAACCTGGGATATAACAATTCCCGACTGACATGGAGACCCCCGTCTCGCCCCTGGTTCGGCAACCAGGCCCCCAAAGACTCAAGCGGTAAGGCTACCCAAGCCTATGAAGTCCTCTACGCCATACCCTGACTAGTGAATACACAACTCCCGGCAGAACAATATTCACTCTTATCGACTACCGAGTGCTACGGCCT